ACGTGCAGACGTCACGCAAAAACATCGTTAAATTGCATTCGATAGCGGTCAAAATGGATATTTTTCGTTGAAATATGCTGCCTGAAACTTTTCGCGATTACAATACTTCCTTTTTACTTCGTACAAGGAAGTAAAAAGTAATCATTAGGTTAGGGGTACGGCTTGGCTGCCCATGTATCCTGGTGAGTTCATCACTCCACTCATAACTTACTTCCTAATCTGCAGTGAACATAGTTGAATCTTTGTTATGTGTGTTCTTTATGTGAAAAATGTATTGGTATTTAGATTACATTTTCACTGAGCTTCCGTATATAAAATTAACTGCATTACTTTTCTTTAAATCTTCCGACACATCTGATTTCTTGGCAAATTTTTAATCTTCATTTTTCAGGACTGTTAAATCTGCAGAGAAGACAATCATTTATATATAAAAAAGTATATTTTTAGCACATTTCCGCCTGGCGAGCCTGAGAGCTAATGAAACTTTAAATCGAATTTTCACAGCATTCTGTACTTCCACATTTAGGTTTTGGCATGACATACTTCAAAAGCGGAGCAAATCCGAATGCCGCAAATTTGAATATATTGTTATGCAACGCTCCAACCTATAGTAATTTATTATAGCGTAGCGTAAGAAAATGTCTCTAAAGTGTCATCTTTAACGAGAATAGATGATTACGTTGCGCAAGATGATAAAGTTTGAGAAGTCTTATCTCGAAAGCGCTTTGCAATAGAAATTTTTCAAATTCATAAGAGAAAGCTTTTATCAAGTGCAACTACATGAATAAAAATGAAATTAATGTTTACATGTACATGTATAAAGTAAAGAGGGTTTTTATCATTCTTTACATGATAGATCTATAAACTAAGCAAAGTATAATGTTAAATTTAAAACTGGTTATTGTTTACCATTAAAATTATTTGACTGCATTTTTCTAGTTTAGGTTATTTGAATACTGCGAAGCGCATGGAAACTGTCGGCTAAAGGAAACTAACAATATTCAGTAGTTATTAGCCGCTCCACCACAAGTGGGATGATATTTTTATATAAGTGAATTTTATTAGGAACGAAATGTATATTTATTATAAAAAATTACTTTAAGCTTTAAATGATCAATAATTAGGAAATTTAGAAATTTAAGGATTTGAATTACAACTTTCGGAAATATTTCGGAATATTATATTTCGGAAAACTTTCGAAATTATTAATACAATTTTTTCTTCCTTGCACGAAGTAATGGAAGTATTTTAATCGCAAAAAATTCCGTGTATCATATTTCAACGAAAATATCCATTTTCAACGCTCTGAAATCTATCTGAAAGATGTTTTTGCGTGATATCTGTACGCACGGGGAGAATAAAGGACTCTTTTTCACAGAGCGGATTGTAAAATGGGCTTAAAATGGATTCAGATTTTCAAAATTTTTCGGGATGTCTGAACGTACGTACGCATATATGTATGTATCTCGCATAACTCAAAGACGAGTAGCCTCAGAACGTTGAAATTTTGTATATGGGACTGCTATAATATGTAATTGTGCACCTCCCTTTTTGGTTGCAATTGGCCGTACCAAAAGTATATATATATATATATGCATACAAATAAATAAATAAATATATTTATATATATATACCCACTGTGTTACCCGGCTCTGCGAGGTCAGTTTTTTGTTGATAATTGTGTATTTTTTGCTTTAAAAGGGATTGAATTATGTTGTTCTTATGTTCCGGTCAAGGTTTTTATGCCTTTAGTTAATTTGCATGCAATAGCGGTAGAATTAACAACAATTTAAATGTTGTTTTAGTGCTACTAAGCCTAACAAAGCGGTCATTTGTCTGCATTTGAAACATTTATTAGAATAGGGATTTAAATTAATTTCTGTATCAACTTCAGTGTCTTTTTGCCGAGTGGAACGAAAAGTAAACTTTCAGTTTTGTACACCGAAAGATCTGCCTTATTGCTCGCTGGTGGTATTACTTATTTTTCCATAGATACGCTAATTTTAATTATAAAAATTGTTTTTTTAACTGTATTTGGTGTTTTATGGTTTTCTGTGTTTTAGAATTTTTAATGAAGAAGTTTTGAGTTTTTATGCATTTTTTCTTGCTGCGAAGTGAGAACTGAATTAATTGAATGCGAAATATGTCGAAATTCGAAGAAGGAAGTTGAAATGAAAGGCAGCAAAAGATGTATATAATTTAATAAGCCGCAAGGAAGTCATGCGGTATCTACATCATATTTTTTATATTGATAAATGTTTGCTGGAGCTTCTCTTATAGCATTTCGTTAATGAATAATGTTTTCACGAAACGTGAATCATATTTCTGGTTTATGAATAGATGTCTTAGACTCTTTTTTAATTCCTGCAGTCCAAATTTTTCGTTTTTGTTTGCTTTTTTATATTCTCAAATTGAAAAGTGATGAAACTATTATGAAGGTCAGTTACTGCACAGAAAAAGGTTTTTGATTGTTAATTTGTTCTTCAAATATCATGAAAGGTAAAAATATAAGCTATTATTATTACTATACGAGAACCATATTGCTGTACATTAAAACTTTATTTACATTTTTGTGTATTAAACTTTGTTAAAAATGATTAATTTGCTTTAAAGATTAAACTGAACGAATGCCTCAATTAAGTTGAATCAATTAAGAATATATTAGATTATTGAAAAATGTCTGCCTAATTGCTTTACAGATTCAGTACAGAATAGATAAAAGCTGAATTCTTTCAAAGGAAGGAAAAATTACAACGAAAGTATCCCTAGAGAAGATAAATTATTATCAGTGTTTGCAAAATTTTATCTTGGTTTTTTAATTCATATTTATATGTAAATTTTAAATGCAGCAATGTTTAGAGTTAAGTGTGTGGATTTTCCATTGTTTAGTTTCAAAGAGTCTTTTAAGTTTATCATTATTCTATATGTGTGGTTGACTCTGTAATCACATTAGTAAATATATGTCGTATTTACTCGAAAATGAGACCCTTCTCTCCTTACAATATTTTTATTTTGAAATTTGGTAAAGTCTTATAATTGGGTGTTTTAATAAATGAAATTATAACAGAGAGGAAGGAGTTTAATTATTATACTACTTAGATTAATTATAATGCTTAAATACTAATTAAATTATAGCTACAACTAGTTATAATAGTCTATCTAATGGAAGGGTAAAAAATAAAATAAATAAATCTGAAAAGAATCAGATTTTAATGCCCGTCCAAAAGGCGTCTTTAAAGTTTAATACGGCTCTTTTAAAGATTATCAATAGGGATAATCCGGGTCAAATAGCGAAACGTTTTATAGGATACTAGATGAATATATGTTTAGACTAATATGGGATTGTTATATATCTTCTGTTTATTCGAAAACTGGAAAAATGTGACATAATTATGAACACAATTAGTGAACACCTAGGTGCTTATATGCTCAGCGAAACGAAATGAAATTTCAGATATTGTTATTTGATGGTACGCACTCGAGATTGTGATGATATGAAACAATAGATTACGATTACAGTGAAAAGTTCGAAATTTTCGAATAGCAGCACCCACCTTTTCCTCGCGCAAATGAATCAGCGCATTGAGAAACCACAAGTGGTTGTAACGATACATGTCTGACGAAAATTGCCGGCTTAAAACTTTTGAAAAGAAAAGCATTATAGTGGGCCAATGACAACGGAAGAAAAGAGAGGGAAAGGAATTTTATTGAAATTTAAATTTTTCAAAGTGCCCATTTTCGCAGACGATAACGCATTGCATGCGGAAGATTGTTGATTCAGTGACGAACGTTACGTCGTAGGAGGAATCTAAAATTTCACGTTTTATGGCGCTTTTCAATTCTCCCAAATCACGTGGATTTAATGTCTACGCTTTAGATTTCAGTAATTCCAGAGAAGTTCATCGGAGTGAAGTCAGAAATTGAGGTATCCACGATACTGCAAAGTTACGGGAGATGACCCTGTCTTGAAACGTTGTTACACGTTGAAAACGTGTAATTCCAATAAAAGCTTTTTCTTCTCTTGTCTGTTGTGTTATCATTGGTCCTTTACAGTGCTCTTCATTGCAAATGTTTTACACCGGCAATTTTTGTCCATATGTGAATTGTTCCAACCCCATTGATGGTGTTTCGATGCGCTGATACATTTTTTCTGAAAAAAAAAAAAGTTGGTGAGACATTAGGTATTTTAGTAGCAGGCAAGATGAAAAATTAGCAACGCCTTCCCAGCGAATCGAACCGCGGACCTCTCAGTTACGCGCTGGGCGTGCAGGCCACTACACCACGAAGGTTCTCTAAGAAGGCGGGAGAAATACCTTATAAAGTAGATGCTACCATTCGAAAATTTCGAAATATTTTCACTGTAACCGTAACCGGGAGAACTCCTTTATTTTAAATCAACACAGACTCGAGACTTTCAATAATAATATCTAAAATTTCATTTCGATTGGCTGAACGAACAAGGAGCTAAGAGTTCCTGTATCGAGGAAGGTTTTTCTCTGTATATTTAATGTTTTTAATTATCTGTATCATGAACTAAAAATGCTTGTACTTCAATCAATTCGATTAAAAAGGACAAAATTAATATTCTTAACAACATCATCTATTGCTTTTAAGTAGCTTAGTTTTTAATCAATAAGAGACAAATTAAATTTTAAAGATCTTATATTTTTCTGAAGGTATGAGAAAAGCGAAACAGCACAATATAGTGTTTCGAGGCTAACAGCCTTTTTGAGCTAATAATGATATGATTAAGTTTTCCTAATTATTCTTTCCTTACTATAATACTGTATTTAATTATTTATCTTATCTTTCATTCTAACCGGAAGTAAATTAATTCTGATAGCTATGATCTCTTCAAATATTCACCACCAATTTTATTTCTTACAATTCGTTCTAAAATGTAAGGAGGTCTTGTATTCGAGCATATCTGATATTCGAGTAAATATGGTAATGCCAAGTTAAGTTATATATTTTCTTACTGATGATATCTCCATTTTCAGATTAACATCTTTTTTCTCGCCAAAATAATGTGGGTACTTATCACAAAATTGAGAGTTTCCAGTACCGCTGAATCCAGGCAATACAGGTCAGTTTGCTTATCTTATTTAATAGCAAAGAAGTAAAATAAAATATAAGTTTGTAGCCTGAATATATCGAGTAATATGTACTTGATTACATTTAATTTCAATAATAATGCTTAATATTTGCTGCTACTTGGATCTTACCAACAGCAGAATATGTAAAACCTGTAAGATATGCTAAGCTCCTACAACGGAGTTGATTGAGATGAAATTCTTATTGTTTTCCTCGCGTGTAACATGAGTAGAAGCTTTTGAAAATATTGAGCTGCATTTGCTTTCTCAAGAATTATTTACGAATTGGCGGTTAGAGATATGAAATTCATTTTAATTAGCAACAATGTAAGACAAATAATCTTAGTAGACACAATGTGCAAGATTTAAGATCGAATTTTTAAAATGCATTATTTTATTTAATCAAAGTAAATATAAAGAAATATATATGTAGGATCGGTACTTTCTAGGAATATGATGTCTGTAAACTTACTTCTTTTGTGGCTGTCTAGGGGCTAATAAATTAGTCCAATTTACAAATAACTGAAATTTAACGGAACATGATAGTTGCTACAAACTACAAGTTACATATGTAGAAGGATGAATTTACATAGATGAGATTACAGATGAAGAGAATCGACGTCTTTAATGCAACATATTTCAGTCGCACCATCGTCTTAATCATCTAACTCTATCATCGGAAAAGTAAAAGATTCATTCCACAGATTGTCGCGTCATCCGATTATAAGAACGATGCCATCCCGAATGCTCGGCATTCTGACAGAATGCGGCTCGATCCGTAGTAAGACCTAACATCTAGGGATCGAAAAATACTTAAAAAAAAATTTTTTTTAGTTAGATTGAGGGAAAAGTCGTTTTAAATGGTATTTCAGCCACTCCCTATCATCTTAACATCCTAAAAAATAACGGCTTTAGCTCTTCTTACGTTCGTTTATCTTACAGTTATTCTAATGCAGTTTTCCCAACCGTCTTCTTCATGTTGTCGGAAAAATTCGTAGAAACAATTTTTCCTGCTCTACGTTATTTAAAGTGAACGGTAAAGGCAATCAGATTGTCTCATCTTACGTGACAACATTACTCGTCAACTCAAGTGAGGTAAAAAATAATATATCTGAACCTGTTCAACGGGGTTACACACAATTTAAAATACGTAACAAAAGAAAATCTACGTTGTAGGGGGGGGTGGTTACAAGCAAGAACCCTACGCGGGTCCAAACCAATCCACCCCCTGCGTATACTGGGTACGGGGCCGAAGCCCAAAAATCAACTCAAGCAGCAGAGAATTGTAACAAAGTATAACGGTTAAACAAAAGCTGCCAGAAGCTCTCTTACAAACTCGGGAAAATTACAGTGATTTATACTTTAATTAGTTTGCTTACGACGAAAGATTTGACGAAACTAGAATTGAAAGTGCAAGCACGTATAAAATAACTTGGTTAATCTTATAGTTTCACTATTACACTGCAAACATATATGTCCGCCAGGTGTATTAGTTTTATGAATAGATTATTCTAAGTTTACTTTAGCAACATAAATATTTATGCATTATTGAAGAATCTAATCCGAATCTATAATTAAGCTGAAAATATTATGCAATAAATTTTGAAGTGATATTGTTTAATGTATAATACTTCGCAGCAAAATAATCCGTTTCTTTTGACGTCATCACAGCTTTGCAGATTCATTATTTAAGGGAATGCCAGATTAAATTTAATCTTGTATGTGCTGTAGATACTGGAAGAGTTTTGCACAATGTTTTGTTTATGGTTTAAGAATTAATTTTGCAGCGAACCAAAAACGAAATTAGAATTTCCTATAATTTTATTATCTTTTAGAATTTACGAAACACATTCAACTCCAAGTAAAGTTTTCTGCTTAATTCTCTTTAATAGCTTCAGGGTATTCTAAATAACTGTGCAGTTTTAAGAATATTCGTTACAACCATATGCAACGCTTTAGTCTCTCTAAATATAAATAAAGTAAATTTTGTGGTGTTTATTCATTATAACCCAAGGTGTTTCATTAATATTTTATTTGGAGTGATTCTAAGCTAACTCTTTATTTGGTTAGGTTTAAGGATTCTGGTAACACATTAAGGAATAGCAGTTTTTCAACGAGATTATGATTACAATATTTTGCGAGCTCTCAGTTCGTGGGAAATATTCCATAAAAATAACACAGGTTGCTTTAGTTATCTATTAATTACAGAAATATAGGCTTATTTTTCATATAAATTCTGAATAATAAAAAGATGGATATTCAAAGATTAAAATCAAGCATATTCTAGTCTTAGATTGAAACGTTATTTTTTGAGTAAAGCACTAAGAGAGAATATATTGAAAATCTGGGAGAATGTATGCTGCCGTCTTTAATAAATATTAAATTAATTTTTGATTTTATTGATTTGACAGGGAGGTAAACATGCCATGACTTACACAAACCTTAAAAACTTGTCTATTTTAGTAGGGAAAGTCAGATTCAAGAAAATGAGACGAGTAAAATATAATAAATTAAAAAGAATAATAAAAACTAATTAAAAAGCCTGCAAAAAGGTTATAATTATTAGCATTTTAAATTTGATGTAAACTTGAGTATCCTTGACTTGTGCAAAATAACATTTTTTCTAATTACATATAATTAATCATGCATAAGCATAACATGTAAATTAATTTATAGTTTGTTACTGTTAAATCAGGAATTTCAGGGTCATTTTCCACCTTCCAGATTACTTCGTAACTGTGTGAACTGTAGCTGCGAATTGCAGTTCGACTCGCTTAATTTTTACTCCAATCTATATCTTGTTTAGTGTATTTGCCTCATGAAAACGTGTGAATTAAGGCATACTAGAACCACAAGCTCAAATGAGGTGAAGAAAATGAGAGCTGTGTGCTGATGATGACAGGCGTTACGATCGTAAATGGGGGATGGTGGCGACGGACTTGATGTGACTATTCTTAAGGAAAAAGGACTATATTTTTAAAGATTTGTAATTCTATTAACCGAACTTCGATAAAACACAAATCAGTCAAAACTCGTGCAAAAACCTTCGTTTTCCTTTTCGAATGAAAACGCTGTTGCCATCTGACGAAATCATATTTTTACCAACGAATAAAATCAAAACTCAATAAAAAATACTATTGTTTCAAGATTTCGAATATTTTCTTGATATAAGCTCAATTCCCGGTTAAACGGGTTTTGGATTACGCGGGTAAAAGAAATGCTCAGATATCTTTACTTCGAAATAGTGGAAAATTGCTATCGCAAACCATGAAAGTAGAGAGAAATCTTTACGGCAAAAATAAAAATGAGTAGGAAATGTGTGAGTTAGCAACAAAGGTAGCTGTAAGATTACAAATTCCTTTTTTGTAAAATGCTTATTTTTTGAATAAGATATGAAAATAATTTCATTTGTATTGCACAAGGTTTAGGGTATGATGAATTCGTATTTTGGAAGCCGTAGGAATTGCTCTTTGTTATTATTTTTCTTAATGCATTTTTGTTGTACTTTACTGTATTTTAATCTATTTGTTACATGTTTTTATACTTAGAAAGGCTGCGAAGGCTTTATTGGTGTTAATTCCTCTTCTTGGTGTGACATACATCGTTGTTATAGCCACACCTAGCGAGCCTGTAGCTGAAGTTGTTTTTATTTACATACAAGCCACTTTGCTTTCAATGCAGGTAATCACAAAAGTTTCAAGGTGTTTAGACTTAATAATTCTAATATGCAGTATGTTACATAATATTCTTTAAATACAAACTGATGTACAAAATTAAAGATAATCTGTAAAATGGTACTTGATGCAAAATTACTGAATAAACGTTTTATGAAAGCAAATGTATGTAATAATTTGAAACCGATGAATGTAAAACGCGCTTATGAGATTTAACATAATGCAGAAATAAAAAGAAGGCCAGAAAACAGGATGTTGTTGAGAAATAGGATGTGCTTGTTGGATTAGTGAGGTTTTACGTGTTGTTAAGTGTATCGTCGTCCACAGTCAGCGGGATGTTCAAACGGACCATGACCTGTCGTTATATATGTTTAAGAGACACTTTAACTAACAACAGCTTTATGAAGAATGGCCAGATTACTGTACTTATTTATAGCAGGGAGTTCATAATGAGTCAAAAGTTATACATCCCAAAACACCTGCTTATCTGTCATCAGGTTAGTTCATCCACTAGCAACTCATAGTATTAATGTTTTATATACGTATTACACATTAATAGTATTAGTGTTAGCATGCATAAAAGTACCAGTGTCACAAAACTTACTTGCTAATTTGTATTAGCAATTTATATCTTATCATTCCCACATTGGAACATATGTACGTATACATGTCTATGTTCTGTGTCACAATACTTACAGTGCTATTATTAGTACATATTTCCCACCTTGTACGTCCTTATTCAATTCACATCGATTTCTATTTGCTACGCGTGTATATCGCAGTATCTTTTTAACTATACTAGGGGTTTCAGCTTCAATATAAAGGACTGACAAGTTTACAGTATTTGCCTTTAATTATTTACAATTTTATCGTGTCTGTAACAGAATTTAAATATCTGTACATTTGTATCAGGCTTGTCCGTATCAACATACTTATTTCAGCCAGCAAATCTATTTTAATTGTGATTGTACATATAAATGAATTTTTTATAATGTATGTAATGAAATTCATATCTGTAAATCTGTATGAGCGATGCCGCTTCACTCTTTGAATTAAGTAATACAATTCAATAGTGATTGTATATATAAATGTTTGATCTAATTCTGCAACAGAGCTCGGTATCGGCGTATTTGTATTAGCGATGTCCCAGTAACATATTTTGGGTTGGTTTATGTACTTTCAAAGCGTATGTAGAAACTGTATTGCACCATATGGCGCTGTGTGCGCTTGAATTCCTTGGACTAGTGCAGAATCTTGATGACTGAGAAAGATGTAACAGGAACGCGAACACGAACTAAAGTTTATATGTGCTTCCATTTATTGTAAATGTATTTATTGTGTCGTCAAATAAAATCTAGAGAAAATGACAAAAGGCGAGAATGTGTCTGACAGGTAAGCGAAATTTCTTTATAATTTATTATTGAGTTTTAGCGACAAAAAATGTATATGCGTATTTACAGCGTATATGTATGCACATGCATTTGCATGTGAGTTTAAGGGTTCTGTAACAGGAAATGAATATTTGCATATTTGTGTTAGGAATGTTTGCATCAACGTATTTATTCGAACCATTTAAAATAATAGCATGTATATTTGCATGTAATTTTTATTAATATTTGTAACAGTATTCGGTATCTGCACTTTTGTGTTAGTGATGCTCACATCAACATATTTAAGTATAGCTTATGTACTTAAAAGACTTAAAGGTTAAAATAAAAGTTAGTCGAGATAGAGTTAAGTTAAAAGAGTAGGCTTATATACATAGTTCTTTATGTACAGAGTCTCTGTGACAGAAATTCGGCAACATGAAGAATTCCTTACTTGAATAATTATATATAGTTCACTTTCCAATTTCCTTTATAGTTCACCTTCCAATTTTTTTTATTTACTTCAGTCGCTTCGCCTTGCAACGACAGACTTCGAGGAGCTTGATCTAAGGAGTTAAGAAAGAATTATAATCGTCGTCGGGAAGGCGAACAAGCATTCCTAAGCGGACCTGCTGTCCTTTAGGCAGAGGAAAAAAAGGAAAAACACAATAAGTCCTTGATAGTGAACAAAGATATTATGCAAATAATTTCCCTAAACAGAGGTGAGGTAACTTTTGAAAGGTGTATTTCAGCAAAACATGCACACCGCCTAATGTGAACGCGGTTAATGTTATTCGAATATTGTTATCGAATTATCGAAGTTCAGCCTATTTGTGCACGAAAACAAGGAAACAAATCGTTAATTGGGATCAACAATTCAGTTAATATTATCAAAATATTATAGAATAATATTTTAAACTTAAGTAAAATTGCCAAATAAGGTTGAAACAGGTTATAAAAATTGCTGAGTGATAGAGGAATGTTGCCAAGTAAATAATTAAGTTGCCAAACATCTTGATTTTGATTTTAGTCAACCATTTATAACTAGGCGAAAAAGCAATATTACTTTGATGTAGATTTTGAATAACTCTATTGATTTTGAGAGCGATCAGACACAAGAGGTTTTTCTTTCAGAAGCAGAGAATAAAACTTGTGCAAAAATTGCTTTCTATTCTGGAAAACAAAGTTTGTCGAAAAACATTTATGCCTAACTAAGGTTGCTTTTTTGAGTAAGCTAAAATTTTACATTGTCATATTTTCTTACAATGCGGACTGACCTCCTACAATTAAGATTAGGGGAACACTATCAGCCAAGTAACTTCCAGAAGCGTTGTTCACTGTTAATAAATGGACTTTTGCATTGAGGAAAATATGAACATTTCATAAACACGTTTTTGTCTTTTCCTAATTAAAATGTTGTGAAAACGCCTATTTATATAATTCTTAATAATTTTATATTAAACATGCTATTGCTATTTTGAAGAGATTTTTGCTCATTGTTTAACGTTATCGATGGGCTAAATAGTATAAAAATTCGCGTGGGCAAAGGTGATCGCATTAAGTGGCGGCTGCTGTATGAAAATCTTCATCAGAGTCATTTGAAGCATAGATTTCTTCTTGATAAGAATGGATGTCAACACAACAGGGCATAATTCTATGTCTTACTTAATTCAATGGAAACATGTTAGGAAGTTTGCATATCAGTCCGGGTTAACCATGCGCTAAATTAATTATGGATATTCAAGACAATGCAGATGGCATTATTATTTTTTTTTGTAATTATGCATATATTTCTTTTACAAAGTTTTTGTCCTTTGCTGCTTGCAAATAGAGTGAAACTCTACTAAAATTTATATTGAAATGCAAGTCATAAAATTAATAAGGCTTATAACATTCTGATGATTTTATTACTGCACTCTTAAAACGCACAGTTCTATATACATAAAAACAACATCCTAAATGTTTTCCAAAATATAAGCCTTATAACTTTAGGATTCCATTTTAAATTGCTTTGCAAATCATTGCCATCTACAGCTGAAAGCAAAGAATAGTTAAATTAAGCCTGTTGATATTTACCAGATTTTTTGTTGATATTCCAGAGTTTTTAGTTTTCATTTATTTTACACTTTTTTTAAATATTGAGTTATTATTATTTTAAATAGAATGTTACACTCACCTCATTTGTGGTGCTATTATTCTACAAACCAACAGTCTAATTGGAATATTTTAGAAGGAAACTCGTGGTTGTAAAATAACACTGAATGGAATTTAACTTATGTTGCAATTATGTTATAAAATTATATTTTTGTAGAAATTTCTTTGTTAAAAATGAATATTTTAAAAAGTAAATTACGATTGGACTAATGAAAAATAATGCTTTCTTAGGGTTTCATGGTTGCTGTTCTTTACTGCTTCCTTAATGCTGAGGTAAGTACATGAATGATTCCGAAATTAAATTTCGTACTTTCAGATGACCAAATAATTAAATAAGCAGCATTATTTGAGAAACGTCACGCATATTTCAGATTTAAATTAATTTTGTTTACCTTATTATGTTTTTTCATTAATTATTATTAATTAAAAATGTTAATATTCTCAAAAGCATTTGGTTTTTGAAACTTTGAGACTTTCCTATAAGACGGGAAGATTATTTTATAAAATGAATGTGATGTCATTTATGATGGGAATCAGTGTGAAAATTATTATGTATATGATGATTATTTTCTATAGAAGCTTTCTTAATCTACATGGACAGTTTAACAATTTGACGAATGGCGAAATTTAGCTGAAACCTATTTCTACAAAATAACTGGCAGTAATTTATGTCGACATAAGCTTTAATTCAAGAATTTTCATTTATTTTAATTTTTGCGTATGGCAACAGGGAACTTGTTTGTTTACAAACACAACGGCATCATGCAGTGAAAAAGCAGTGAACGTTCTCTGGTTTTAGGAAAAAAAATCTCCTAAAACAGTTCAAAAAGCGATACGGACATGAATTTAATAAACCTGCACCAACGGAACAACCAATTAAAGACGGTTAGAACAGTGTCGAGAGACCGGACATGTTTTGGAGAAAGGAGGTGCAGGTAGATCCAGAGTCCAGTGATGATAGTTCGTAAGGAATTCCCTAAAGAGTTTCTTGACCAGTAATTATCAATAATGTTGACCAATTTCCTCATAACGTTGTAGCCCTGTCACTGGGTTACAATGTGAGCAATTTCTTTGATGAAACATTCCCAGATCACTGGATTTATCCAGTTTCATGGCCATCCTGTTCTCTGACACAGTTTACAGCCACCTCACGAGAATCCTCAACATTCCGAGTCTTATCAAGCAGTGGAATCCTCAGCCCCAGAAGAACAGTCCACAAAAGAATATCCCTTCACTGAGGTGACACGAAAGCAGCGGAAAACTTCTCCACCTTCAAGATCTTCTCCAGTTCTATCGGAACACGTTCTATTATTAAGGTCAAAGAACTCCACACGGACACCCGAAGGGATTAAAGCTCAACTTTCGGCAGATTTGAAACCCTCCCAGCTAGGGATCACTTTAGTGCAGATTCGGCCGACAAGGTCCAGAGAGCTTCTCATCCGGTGTCGAGAAAAAGCTCACCTACTACGCCTGAAACAGGCAATCGAAGACAGGCCGGCCAGCACTACTAGAAACACTTGAATTTCGGGAGCCCAAGCCAAGAAGGGAAAGTGTAATTTTTTGAGTACCTGAGAATATTTTTGGAGTACCTGAGAATCTAGGAAAAGAAGATCTAACAGCAGCACTTGTAGACCAACTGCCCAATTTCAATCCCAGTGCTTTTCAAATACGAGCAAGCCGTTCCGGGCAAAGCGGAAGGAAAAAACTGGGTGATAGACATAGACCCTAAGTCAGCAGAACACCTAGTTAAGCTAGGCCGTCTTTTAGTGGGTTTTGAGTCTTGTCCTCTCCGTCCGTACATTAGGATCATACGCTGTTACAACTGCCAGGAGTTCGGTCACTATAGCAGGAACTGTAAAAAACGCTCCAGTTTGCGCGAAGTGTGGTAACAGCCACCCCGACGCAGGAGTGTAGCTCGGAAAAAGTGAGTTGCACTAATTGCTGCAGTAGTAATTCTGAAAAGGGGACCTCTTTCAGCACAGATCACCCAGCTACTTCAAGTTCCTGCCCAGTGTATGGAGCCCATTTCGAGAGCCTGAGAAGGACCACTGCTAAAGAACTAAACCAAGATGACACTAAATAAACGCATAGCAGGTATTCGATTTTTTTACAGTGTAACTTGCAGAAGTGCTATGCAGCAACCATAAGCACGTTGCAAGTAATGACACCGTGCTGCTGCCAATATCGGAATCTTCCAAGAGCCATACGTTTACAACGGAGTGATTCCTAGTTTTCGAACACACAGCAGAACGTTTTTCTCAAAGAATCAGCTAGCTGCGATTATTTACAGTGGCCCTCTCTCCCCTCTCCTAATGAAAGTCACAGAGCATACAGTCTCCATCAGACTAGACACTAGTAATTGCACCATTGATATTATTGCTGTGTATCTACCCCCAAGCGAAGATATTACCTCTCTATTAGAGGAACTTAATTCTAACCTTCTAACTGGGGCATCACACTGTATCATAGCAGGAGACTAACGCCACCAGTCAACTATGGGGTGCTGACTACGGGGTGAGAACCGAAGGGGAATTGCGGTACTCGAATTCTTGGACAGTAAGCATTTCATTGTCATCAACGCTCAGGACTCACCCGCCTACCTTTGAAACATCTAGAGCTCGAGGGTGGCCAGATCTGAACAATATCAACTCCCAATACAACTCCGTACATACAAGATTGGACAGTGAGTGACCTGCCGTCACTCAGTGATCACAAAATTATTACTTACAGGCTGGATACTCCTATAGACTACATAATAAAGAAAAGATTCAAAACGGCATTTGGAGGACATTCCGTTTTACGGGAACACATTCGAGCGCATGTAGAGAAATTTATCAAAGATTTCAACAACTGCCAGGACAGAAACTCCTTAGATAATCTCTACGACTTACTAGTTACAAAAATAGTGCAAGCCGCCCACAAAGCATATCGTTTGAAATCTGTAAAGGCAAAACACTCGATATCCTGGTGGTCACCAGAGCTTAACACAGAGAGGAGCAGAGTTCGGGCACTTCGCAGAAAAGCACAATCCACGGTAGATCCATATCTACGGCAACTCAAAATGATAACATACAATAAAGCCAGAGCTTTATATAAAAGAAAAATTAAAGAGGCCAAGTTAATCTCATGGAGAACTTACTGTAGTAATGTCACTAAAGCCTTTGGACCTACTCAAAAGATAACATGTAACAAGGTGTTTCGTCCTACGACCCTTTCGCCTATGGTGAATAGCACTGCCTCATCCAACATCGAAGTAATCAGTGAGATCATAAATGCAGTTTTTCCTGATGATGATGAAGAGGATTTCTTAGAGGAGCAAGAGGAAGCGAGAAAAACCTACAGTATGAAATTTCGCCAAGTTACCAGAAGAGACGAACTCCCTCCTACGCAAATGGAAGTGGCATTCAAAAAAGCTCCAGGTCCGGATGGAATTGATAATATCATCATTAGAGAGATACACCGGGAATTCCCAAAACTATTCCTTGCGGTCATTTCAGCTTGCTGGAAACATCAGTACTTTCCTAAAAATATGAAGTTGGCAGAAGTGGCGTTATTCCTAAAATCAGGCAAAACTCCGGCAGAACCTACATCTTACAGGCCAGTCTGTCTACTGCCAGCGCTCGGTAAGGTATTGGAAAGAGTAATTCTTTACAGATTGGACTTCTTCCTGCAAAGGAACAACGCCCTGCATCCCAACCAATATGGATTCCGAATGGGCAACTCAACTCAACTGAACATGCCATAAAAGACTTAATGGCCACTATCAAACAGAACAAGGATAACAATTTGCACTCACTGGCAATAGCCATTGACATCAAGGGAGCCTTTGACTCCCTTTGGTGGCCAGACGTAATAAATTTGCTGCACAACATGGCCTGCCCAACAGCCATTATTACCATCCTTCGCTCGTACCTTCAAGATCGAAGTGTACAAGTAACATCAGACAGCGGCATTTATGTCAAAAATGTCTTTAGAGGATGCCCACAGGGGTCATGCCTTGGACCAACACTGTGGAATATAGTGGCAAACTCGGCATTTCGTCAGTTTGAGAGAGCGTAGAATACGCTCGAATCATAGCCTATGCGGACGATTTTATGCTAGTTGTGGCAGGAAGGAGTAACCTCGAAATGAGATCTCAATACTGTCTTGATCTGTTCTCCCAATGGGCCAGAGCACATAAGCTTCAGATTTCGGCAGAGAAAACTAAAGCTTTGCTCATAGGACGCAGCAGGCAGCTAAGACGCAACCCAAGCATTAAACTCCATGGGATACCGGTAAAATGTTTTCCCCCAATTGAAATATCTTGGGCTATTACTCGACAACAGACTTTCTTGGATGCCACATGTCAGGAATCTTAAGACTCGAATTAGCATCCTAAGCAACAACATGAGACGCATGACTTCACATAAATGGGGTATCTCATCTAAGCTACTAAAAATTTGGCATAGAACCATTACAGAAAGAGTAATAACTTATGGAGCAGCAATCTGGGGTGGCGAACTTACCTCTCATATGAAAAGATCCCTGCTCTCTATTCAGAGACAGCAGCTACTTCAAGTATGCAGGGCCTACCGTACCACGTCAACACTAGCCCTACAACAACTAGCAGGAATTCCTCCCTCTAGATTTGATAGTAGAAAGGGAGGCAGCTATCGTAAGGGTTACCAGGCTGGGTCAAACTTCAACACTCTGGGGTCATAGTTATCACCACTCGGATTACGAGGAGCAAAACAACTGCAATAACTTTCATCCAGCAGCTTTTAATCTCTCTGACGGTATCAGTATAAACGACCAACCAATTCAGAGGTACAGTAATAACCTTTTCACAGATGGCTCCAAAACTGAGAACGGCACGGGCAGCGCCTTCTGTAGACTAGAAAATGGAGTTGTAACATTCGAGTGGAAAAGGAAATTAGGCTCGAACAACTCGGTATACCAAGCAGAGCTTCTAGCTATCAGTGCTGCAATTAGATATGCGAATTAGACTGCAATTAGACTGTTATTAGTATATAATATTCAACACATGTCAACAGGAGAAATTCTCCATACTCAGTGATTCGGCATCAATTCTGGCGGCTATCGCAAGTCAAAACAGCCGGAGTCCATTGGTATACAGAATTCAGAAACAGTTTCTGACAATGCCTATTTCCCAAAGACCCACTTTAAAATGGGTTCCCGCTCACACAGGGATTCAAGGCAATGAAGCCGCTGACCTACTGGCCAAGTAGACAGCCAACTGCAAGGATATATTAGAAAGACCAACTAAACTTCCTTGGTCTCATATTAAGCGAACAACTTTGACAAGTCTGCTACAAAATTGGCAAAGTAGATGGACAGAGGCAGAGGTAGGACGAAGGACATTTCGCTTACTGCCAAAAGTTAACATGGAAATAAAGACCCACTGTGCTAGCCTAACACAGTTCTTGACAGGTCATGGACCATTCCCAGTATACCTGAACAGATTCAGACTTAGGGATACTCCTTTCTGCGAATGCGGAGAGGAAGGCGACACGGACCATTATTACTTCCATTGTGTACATACAAGAACCTGGCACTTGAAGAAACCAGCGGACTGTGCCTGGGCAATGTGGACGACTAACACACTCAAAAACAGAGAATAGCCCTTGATAAAATAGAGAAAATCTCAGGACACTGCCTAAGCAGAAACAACCGTGGATAATATTATAACGTTTCAAAAGTTCAGAACTTAAAGCAGATAACCAGAATAACGCTTAGTGCCTTGCAGTTAACAATATGTAAAAACTGTTATTAGTATATAGTATTCAACCTTGTTACTCTGGAGTCCTCCCCGCCGTGATGGTATATAATTCCGTTTGGTTCATGTCCGTGGTCGGAAGCCATCATAGCGGTGCACTCACTCACTCACTCTTTGGACATCATGCCGATCGACTTCTTTTTTCTGGGGATGAACGAAGTTTTTATGCTTCAGAAATTCGCACCATTGAAGAATTAAAAAATCGAAGCACCAATGAAACACGTGCTGTGACCCACAAATACTTAAAAGCGACTGAACGGTAATAGAGAACAGACTTCATATTCTCCGAGAAATTATTGGTGCTCATGTTGAAGGGTATTAATATAAAATGCTGAATAAAATTCAGTCGGTTTTATTTTTCTTATTCTGTGTTATTTAAAACATATCTTTATTCGGTGAATAAATTATGGACACTGTATAGAATGCTCAATTAGGTGTACGTTTTAAGATTCAAATAGTAATATTAAAGTGAGATTCGTGAATTCGGCCGTAAAAATCGATAATTCTGAAAAACTGTAGTTAGGTATTTGAATTATTTAATTTGCGTCCTTTCTTATCACTCTTAATATCATTATTCTAAAACATATATGTTTAAAGCCGAAATAAGAGCACTTTTAAGCCATTTTAAGTTTCTTATCAGATTGGTTTCACTATTGTTAACACCCACTCTCTTTATTTCTATGAGGGAAAAGATGCTTATCAAGAATTATTGGAGAACTGTTAAATCTAGGTGCAAAGTTTATAAGCCTAGGGGTAGTCATTCCTTGGCCGTAATTTAAATGTTTCCTGAGCTCTTTCTGAAATACACAAAGACCTCAAAACTCAATAATAAAACAAGCATTTCTAACACACATTATTAATTTCTGGAGTTGACTCATGCTATTATTTTAAGTTTGGAAAACTTGCGATAATCCGACTTTGCATAATTTTATAGAAAACACAAACGCTGTAGTAATCCACAACATGGTTTTATTGCTGCAACCAACTTGACTGTAAAGATGTAACATGGGAATATTTCCAAAACAACATCTTAAGTGGTTTTGGAGATCCCATACCACAATCCCTCGGTCATTCTTGGGTGTACTTTGTTTAGCATCTGAGAAATAGGGCCATTCACTTGTAGAATTCTGTGAAGTACTCGTAATTTCCGCTCCATCTCCGTGGAATAAGACAATACTCAGTTATTCCTGACTTGACCTCAAATGTCTTGTAGAATCCCTTGCCTATTCAGAACTGAACTGAACCTGGCTCGGCTTCGAGGAAAGCTCAACACCTCTAACATGACTAGCAGCGTACCTACTCGGCTGTGTAGGTATGCTTTCAACTCACGCTTACTTACTAGAATATAAATTATCTTGCGCGTGTGTATTCAAATGAGGAAGAAAGAAGTTAGCATTTAAGGCAAGGTGAATTCACAGCGTATTCTGTCTGCCTGAAGCCCACGTTGTTATCTTGCTTTACTAGCGATTTGATTTTCTGAGCACTTGCTGGCAATAGACTATTAGGCTTGTTTAAATCGACTTTTGAGTCAGAGCCAGCCTGCGTAGTACTTAACTTATGAAGCCGTTAGACTAATTTTCTTTCATTTAATTTTTAGTTATTCGTACATTTTTGGGTTAAGTTAAAATTGTTGGCTTTTGTAAGCAAGAATTGGTGCCATCTGTGGGATTTTATTAACCATTTAATTAATAATTTAATCTGTGGGATTTGAGTTAACAAAGGTTCCCTACACCCTTCTTCTGACTTTGTCGTATATGAAGACTTAGGGATAACTTTTTAAATAGTCTTCTAACTTCTAACTTAGTTTAAGGTGCCAAAGCATACGAGACATTATAACGTTATCCTTCAAATAGCCACATAGGAAAAATTACATGCTGATAAATCAGGCGAGCGTAAAGCACATTCCAGGTCTCCGAAACGTGAGATGGCATGTTGCAGAAATATTTCTCCGACAACAATTAGATGCGCCATGCGTGGGTTTTCTGTTGCTCAGGGTCTGAAGTTTTGCTTGTTAACATATTCCTTTAGATAAAAATAAATTTCATCAAACATTATCAAGCAATCCAGGAATTCCGGCATTTTTTTAATCATTTGTAACAATTTTCTGCAAAATTCAGTCCTACATGCTCTTCCGATTAATGGTGTACGAAACGTAAAGCCTTTAAACTGCTTTATTCAACGATATGCGTTTCTCCGCGCAACATACAAAAACATCACAGTTGTATTAAATTTAAATCATTCAAATATGTCTGCTATACCCAGCATGCAAGTACTGTTACATATTTATTTAAAATGTTTTACATATTATTTTTTCAATTCTTTACAGGTGCAAAATTCTGTGAAACATTATCTAGAGACATGGAGAACCCAAAAGTCTATCAGCAAAGCCCAACGTCAGTCTATTCGCAAATCGTCACAAATAAATAGAAAAAGTATAGTCGTGTACCGATCAAAGTCTGCTGGCGACAGCTGTGTTAGTTTTGCATCTACTACAGAAGCATCTGGCATTAGTATACCAAACCTGCCATCAAGAGCCAAACGTATTTGCTCTCTGGACCTTGCTCGGAATCGCGAAGATGTATTGTAAAAAAATTAAAATGCTTTAATAGAAGCAATAGTAAAAAAATGTTACGGTTTCACTTTATTGATGTAAATACGGCACTCCAAAGCATGAAACTCGAAAAATTCTCTCAGACTCATTAAAAAAAATTATAAAATTCTTTGCTTTAATTGAGATATTTCATGTCTCTTGGAAAACGAACAACCTTTAAACTGATATTTACTATTATCATATACCAAGATATAATTTTCTAGTTACATTGATCAACAGATAACAATCACTAAACATTAAAGTCTATGAGCTTTTAAGGTTTTCATTTGCAGCTGTTATATATATACTGAGTGTTTTTCTCTCATATTTTTTGAGAAATATATTTCTGTAGACAGTCATATGAATTATTTTTGCTTTAAAGATCTTTAGTATGTTCTGATAATTCAAGAATTTGACGTAAAATTTCTTCATGGAATATTGTCTAAATTTCTGCCGTGTAACGGAACGATGAGAGGAGAATCAAAAGTGCGTTCGGATTTAACCTAAAGAATATTTTAATCTGAAAACAACTCTGTTTTTCCCTAGATCAATGGTCTCAAACACACTTTGCACTTATAGTATATATATATATATATAATGTAAAATGAATGTTTTGGAGCTTGGTGGTGACGTAATAGATGAGTAGCGAAGAAACTTGGCAAGGCAAACATGTCCGGATTCAAGATAACTTTATTTTTCAAGAAAGCAAGTTGGGATTCGCAATATTTGGTTCACATACGGACGAGCGTCTTATGCGCTCTATTTTTGTTAGATCAGCACATATTCCATGAACAAAGAAGGTAGCCGCAAAGCTTCTGGCCAAGAGGAAAGCTTAAGCGAAAGAGACACATCAGTTCCTAGAAAGAAGGGAGGGAGTCAGTTTTTAGTTATGGTTTACAATTCGGTGATTGGTCAAGAGACATCTGCATTAAGGGTTACATAAGATCGCATGATTACTCTGAATGACGCAGTTTAGACTTTTAGGACAGATAGATGAAGTTCCCAAATGAAATAGAAAATAAAAGAGGTTATAGTGAATTAAATTTAAAAGTTTGCTTTCATATTTTTTTATCTATATATATATATATATATAAAATTGAATTAATTAATGAAATTCATTGATATAGCTGCAAAGTAACATAATAATAATTTATTTACTAATGGTATATTGAGTACATTATATAAGGAGGTAATAAGATACAATATTATATAAGGAGATAAAGTTAGTAGAATTGGATCTGAATAAAGTATTCCAGAAGAATTGAATGAAACTAATTTTTTGAAAATAATTTTGACAAACAAACTTGAATTTTAATCATGAAAATTAGAAATGGAAACTTTTAAAATGAAAATTAATCAATAAACTAAGTAATTATCGTATCGTCATTGATCGGAAATTGGTTGACTTTTCAAAGGGGACCAAACCAAGCCCCGTTCAGTTAACAATAATTAAACAATAATTGATGAATTCGAAGGTGTTTCGTTCTTTACTCAAGTAAGAAGTGTGACGCCAAACTGGTAATTTGAGTTGAAGCCAAACTTGCAAGTTGAGTTTAATCCAATTAGTGAGATTAAAGTGAGATGAATTAAAGTAAAGGACTATATAGAATTTATTATGAATGTAGCAGTTCCGTTAAACTAATGAATGTTTTAAATATCTTGAGATATTACTGCCAAATTGAGCAGTAGTAAAAAGTTTTTTCTTTGCTAAATTAAGTAGTAGTAATTTTTTCTCTTTTACTTCAGTAAAATGTCTCCGACACCTTCGCTTTCATGCATATTGATTCAAAGCTATCTTTATAAACATAATTAACAGAATGTAATCCTTGCCATATTTATGAAATATAAATGAAGGTAATCGTTATCAACATAATAAGCAATGCAATCTTTGCAAAATTAATGAAATATAAAAATTGGAAAAATGAATGATATTTATATAAAATAAGGTACAAGAAAACGTACAAATTTAAATGTACATAATATACATAAAAGGCCACAATATGAATTAATTACGTTCGTTTGAGTGGGAGGAGTGTTCGTGTCTGTTTTCTGATTCGGAAGGAGTTCGGCATGCGCTCCAAGATGTAGAGAGAAAAAAATTTAATTATTAATTTTCTGTTCATGATTATCACCCAGGAAAGAAATTGCAAATTCAAACTGGGAAATATACTAATGTTTCAGAGGACTGTTTTAGAATTGGTAAAAGCTTATATTAAACTTAAAATAAGTTTGTAACCGATGCCTTAACATGAACTGTTGGACTAACTGTGACAACAAGGCTGCCCTCTGGTGAGTAGCCAGAGAAGTACTTCAGTAAGAGCCAAGCGTCCCACTTGATAGTTTGTATGAGACTCTTGCTCTGTAATTTTTCTTAAAGTTAAATGTAATGTCCGTGTGTAACTTAAACATGTTAATAAATATTTGTTACACTATACCGGACTCTTCTATGACCCTATCTAAAGCGACGCCCCATACAAGTTTAAAATTTGTAATGGTGTGCATGCTACCCTAGAAGATGATCCGAAAATTGAACTTATGGAGACATCGAGCGATTTTTTAACCGATAGAAGTATAAAGTGGCATAAAAGTGCCATTTATACTTAAAGAAGAACAAGAATGCCCATTAACTGGAAATAGGGATAGCTAGAATCCGAGTTAATGGAGTTCCACTGCACTTTTAAATAACTCAAAGTTTGAAGAGGAGGCGATACAGCCTTTGAAAATAACATAGACAATTCTATAACTTTCGGAATGTGATTCTTTCATTGCACATTGCCAGCAAATGCTCTTTTTGCTATCAAATATTTATTGATAATAGAAGTTCCATCGTCAGGCTTTGCAATTCGAATTTAGTTCGCAAAACGTAGTACATTTGCCACCCCCGTTTTTATAGTAGATGTAAAATGGCATTCATAAATAAAACATAAACTTACCTTCGCACTGAAACATTGGCATTCGCATGATATATTTACTCCTTTATTTCTTTGAAGGAATGTGGAAGATATCCCTGTGGACGGTACACGCCTGGATTTTATATTCAGGTCTCCATTTAAATTTTAAATGATATAAAGAATAAATATAAACTTTTAAATTTAAATTTCGGGTAAAATGATATAATGGTGAAGATTAGATTAAATATACCTATATATGGTATAAGCGGCTTATAAAAATGATATTCAATATTATCCTAAAATATCTCAAAAGATTTTATTCATATTTTATGCATGCAACTCGAATTAATTTTTCGTTCAGCGTTTTGTGCGTGCGCGTTAAAAGTATTTTGTTCGTATTCATTTCAAATAATTTCGTTTACTTAATTTATTTTGAAAAAAGAAATTCTTTCTAAAATGGCTTTCAAGAATCGGCTATGCGTTCATGAAATTAAAGGTAACCGTTATTTAAGGCAGTGGTCTCAGACTCAAACTGCATGCGGGCCGAATGCCCGATATGAAAGCAAACTTGGAATTCGTTTTTTTGACAAGATGAAAAGTTTTATTTAATAAAATAAAAATGCTTTAACTAAATTTCAAATTTTATTTTTAAAGATTTATAAAAACATACATAAGCAGTAACAATAATGACGCTGAGGAAAGAATTCAAATGGTACTTAAGTATTATCCCATTAACCGGATAAGTAGCACGATTTTAACGCCAGTGTGTCTTTTGGAATTCCGTAGTAACGACTGACGAATGGCGACCGCTGCCAACATTTCCGCCAACGGTAGACGGAATAATACGTAATTAACATTAAGATTTATGTTTAATTTCTGAATGAAATCTAAAAGTTGATATTTGCAATAAGTTTGTCAATTATGCTTTGTTTTTCAAGCGTATTAACAGATAAATATTAAATTTTTAGACTGACCTAATACTTTGAATCAACCGATAAACAGCATATTTTTACTGAAAATAAATCAATACAGATATATTTCCGGGTGGGACAAAACTTGACAGTAAATAATGACAACCTTTTGTCTTTCTTTCATTTGTTAAATTTTTCTTTGGGGTATATTGAAAAGATACATAAATTTGTTCGTAAATAATCATAAACGCTTTAATTTTTTCTATAAACTTTCAGCTACTGCACTTGATGGAATTTTGAAACTGATAAAGTTTGCAACTTCGAGAAAAAGTACTAGAAATTATCTTCATCACAACTGTGCATTCATCATCGATTAATCAGGTTATTCCCCCTCCCTTAAGCTTACTAATTTTAACTGCAGTGAAAATCCACATTTTATTTTATTTTATTTTATTTATTACTTTCTTCATCCACGTTACACAAACGTCCATCCAGCCAGCCCGTTCGACGGGCCTTTAATGCTGTACCAAGCTCCCAGACTTCAGAGCTTTAATCATTCAGCCCACAGTGGGTTAGGCAAAAACAGTTCAAATGCAAATGTGCTTCCAAACAAATACATTATTCGTTTGCTTAATTTCGTTATTGAGGTTATTTACTTTTCAACGAATACAAATAAAATTTAATCAAAATCTGTGTCTTCACATCACTGGATAAGATTTGTGTCAAAATATAAATAAATTAGTTCATTTTCAAGTTTTTTTTTTGGTCTTAAGCACATTCATTTTTGATGGCAGTGAAAATAATATAATACTGGAATGCAATTCATTTAGTAACCTCAAATGTTGCCTTCCGATTTTGTCATAATGTCATAATAATACTAATTAATTTACGGGAAGTGTATTAGAGGGCCTTGTAACTTTGCTTCGGGAACCGAATGCGGTCAGTAGGCTAACAATCTGAGGCCATTGGTTTAACGTAAGCGAGAAATAAACCAGAGAGAGACTTAATATCTGAAAATCCAAGATTACAGTCAAGCATTTAGAAAAGGAGTTCACCACTACCATTAAAAAGAAATGAAATTAAATTGTACAAAAATTTAAAAACAAATGTGCAAATATTTCATTTCTTTTAAAGTGAAAGTAATATCTACAGATATTACAGTATTACAGTTCACAAAATACCTACAGGTGTTACAGTAATATTCACAGATATTACAGTTCATAAAATTAAAAAAAAAACGTCATCCCAAAAGAATTCCTATTTTTAAAGCTGCGTCGTTCATTCCTGCATTTTTCTCTCAATTTAAAGTTGTATAAGATATTTCTCTC